CCCCTACAGCAAGCCCTGTAGGAGCCCAAATTCAATATCTATGGTGCCAACATCATTTTTCAGGCTGCGCTACAAGATGGTAGGCTTGGCTGGTGTCTCAGGGGATGGCAATGTATTTGGTGACAACTTGTCACCAGTCTCAGCCCGCAGATGCCATGACATTCAAACGCCCCGACAGCAAGCCCTGTAGGTGCCCAAATTACACCAGAATGGTGCCAACATCATTATTCCGGCTGCGCTACAAGATGGTAGGCTTGGCTGGTGTCTCAGGGGATGGCAATGTATTTGGTGACAACTTGTCACCAGTCTCAGCCCGCAGATGCCATGACATTCAAACGCCCCTACAGCAAGCCCTGTAGGTGCCCAAATTACACCAGAATGGTGCCAACATCATAATTCAGGCTGCGCTACAAGATGGTAGGCTTGGCTGGTGTCTCAGGGGGTGGCAATGTATTTGGTGACAACTTGTCACCAGTCTCAGCCCGCAGATGCCATGACATTCAAACGCCCCTACAGCAAGCCCTGTAGGTGCTCAAATTACACCAGAATGATGCCAACATTGTTATTCCAGCTGCACTACAAGATGGTAGGCTTGGCTGGTGTCTCAGGGGATGGCAATGTATTTGGTGACAACTTGTCACCAGTCTCAGCCCGCAGATGCCATGACATTCAAACGCCCCTACAGCAAGCCCTGTAGGTGCCCAAATTACACCAGAACGGTGCCAACATCATTATTCCGGCTGCGCTACAACATGGTAGGCTTGGCGGGTCTCTCAGGGGATGGCAATGTATTTGGTGACTACTTGTCACCAGTCTCAGCCCGCAGATGCCATGACATTCAAACGCCCCTACAGCAAGACAAAAAATTTTACCATTAGTCATGCAAATCACAGTGATCTTGAAGCTATCATATACAGTACTAAATTTTAATGCTAATTGTGATTTAAAAACAAATGAAATTAAAAAGCAAAAAATGTGCCCCCTAACAGGATCGAACTGCTGACCTTACGCTGGCTCTGCGTTTTTGATTGGTTTATGAGACGTACGCTCTACCGACTGAGCTAAAGGGGCCCTTACTAGCTGTGAATCGGTGAAATAATTATCACTTGCAATGTGTCGTACCGTGGTTGTGTGGTGTCTTGTCATCACATCAAACAGATGCAACTGAAACACATGGCTTGGCTTGTTGGAAACTACAAGTACTATGGAGTCACAGCTTGATGTTGGTTCAGAAAGCCTTGTGTTTATATTATGTGTTAAAGCTAGATGTTAACGTACAATGCTATGCATGGGACATGTTGCTGCATGAGTGACTTGGGGCAGAGAGGTATTGTCTTCAATGTTGTGTTACTTTATGTGTCAAAGTTAGATATAAATGTACAATGCTAAGCAAGGGACATGTTGCTGCATGAGTAGCTTGAGGGAAAGATGTACTTATTGGTAGACTCCCTCATTCCTTCTATCATGAAGGTTGTCTGTTTTCCAGGAGCTCTGCAAGATGTTTACATCTGCTGATCCAAACAAGGCTTCTACAACCTGGTTGGGTGACATGGCCCCAAAGAAGAGGAGAAAGCCACCGCAATGGCATTCCAGATTGATGGTTGGATGGAGGGCCAGGAAGTCCTCACCAAGGGAAAGTTTTTGCTTCAAACAAGAGAATGATGATGCCAATAACCCTGCTGCACCTGAATTACAGCTTTGGCTTGGGACACGCAATAGGCTCCACCACCTCAGCAACAAAGCCCCAATCTAGTAAAAGTTGATACGCTATTCATGTCACAGGCCACCAACACATGGAACAATTGGAAAGGCCTCCAGTTGCAAACAGCTTTCAGCACTTTTCACCATCCCAAGCTAGCCCTACGCCGTCAGCTATTGTGGGACCACTTGCTGCACACATTGATGGACATTGGCCCAACAACCAAAAGCAATTATTAGGCTCTCATGATATGACAAATGACAAGTTGTAGAGCAACAAAGTCAAGAACTGAACCCTAAATAGCTGGTGTCAAGTCCGCAGCGCGTCGTATGTGACATGTGACTAGAGAAATTGTGCAACCAATATGTGGATTTGTTGTAACAAATAGCAACTGAAGGAAAGTGATTGAAAGAAACTGATTGACTGGATGATCTTCTGAGTGGAGTCAATGGTAGTGATGTAAAAAGTAACACACAATATGGTATTACTGTTATGCAATGAGAGTGAAGTTGTATTCATGTAGTGGTGAGCGCGAGACTATTCTGCAAAGCATCTCCATCAAGAGCTGTACAGACTGTGGCCAAGAATCCTGTATCAGAGCTTTTTGGAGGTAAGACTATGATTGTGTGATTGTCAATGGTGTTAACAAATTTTGATTAATCACTGGACGTCTCCACTTTCCATTTCCACTCACATGGACAACATGTGGTACTTGCCTGGTATGTAGAACATAAAAACACAAACTTGGATAAAGAACTATGAAATAACATTCCAAAAAGCAGATTTATTAACTTGGCTGAACTAATTTGTCAGAGTGGACATTGCAGCAGCACTGTCAGTAGAAGGCCTGCAGAAAGTCTACCTGTTCCATAATTATCCCAAACAAGGGTCTACCTCCGCCGGCTTGAAAAGGTGACCATCAATCTCAGCTGTGAGCATGCACACACCTCTCTCTACTTCATTCTGCATCTCGCATGGGGCAACTTATCTGCACGGGATGACATGACATTGCGACGCCATTGGTAATCACCACCAAAGCTACACACACATTTGCACATGAGCATCACCAGTCCCGTCTGGTATCTCACACAGACACACCTTTATCCTAATAAGGACACCAGTGACATCTGTCCGCAAAGAGTTGACAACATGGGAGCTGCTCCTCTACAATGTAACTTCCTATACATGACTTACTTTGCTGGCTGGGAGGGGTGTGCACTCACGCCACCAAAGTTCAAACACTGCTCCAAGATTCACTTGCCAGCCTCCAGCATGTCACCTTGCCACCTCATTACCTGATGGACAACTTCCAGGGAAAAGAGAAGGATGCTGGCATCCCTTTCTGCAGTGACTTTGTCTACCCGTTTGAGGATGTTGCTTGACGCAAACAAGAAAACAACAGAGGGCTTGACAAAGATTGGACAACATTATTGAAAAATACAGAATGGAAGAAAAATTGTCATACCACTTCATGTTCCCTTGCTGCCTTTGGGCGCATGTACCTAGTCACTTCCTGGCCTTGATCTGGTACATCCCTCCAAAACATGGGCGCCTTGGTGACGAAGGACACTTGTTTAGTGATCCTTCCATGCCTTTACACCCACTTGATAGAGGCAACGTCAATTGCCTGATAAATGGCTTAGTCATTCCATGCATGATCAAGCTCATATGGAAGTTACAAGTGGATATTCCAATGGAGGGAATTTACATGGCAGCAAATAATAATCAGCAGCATTCCGATGGCTCCATTATCACCCCAACATCGCAATCACCTTTGATACCATCCTGGCAGACTGGCTGGTTATCCCAGTGGGGCAAAATATTTTGTGACATCCCGTGCCCTGGTTGGTATATGATGCTAAGAGAAATATGCAGTCTGATTGCTGCCACCCTTGACATAGGGACAGCATCCACAGAACCGTGTCACCTCTGCTCACACCCAAGGAAGTCATGAAACTATCTGTCACAATGTAATGGCACAGCATGGTGTTTGTACTTTGAGCCATACTAGTGACTGAAACAGTAGTTATATACATGCAGCGGCACTGTTTGAGCAACGTGAATAGTTTGCTGGTGCTCTGTTTCGATTCTGGGGTGTGTTAGGTTTTGCCTTCTGAATGCGAGTACTGCTACGTTGTGATACTATTCCAAGCCACCACCAACCAATACAATCAAGGATGCTTTTGACTCCTTGGCCCAGATCGCAAATTTGATTCTTCTTGTTTGTTGACAACCAAGGTGTGGCAACCATTACTTTACAGGAGGCTGTCCACTGCAAATTGTCTTTGGTGACTTGTTCTTTCTTCCCTGTCTCTTTTTGCAGTTCTCAACACTCAGCCACTGTTGTTGTGTGGTGGGACACCCTCCAGCTGGCTGGTGTCCTGTGGGTTGAGGCAACTCTTGTCATGGACGGGATTTGCTGTCAGTCATCATTGATGACATGGTTTCTTGTTCACAGACCCAGATTTCTGGGTCACATAGCATGCACAACCTACATGGACATCACTGTCTCCAGATGGGCAGCTAGATTGGACAGAGCCTTGCACCACAGGTAGAAACAGCCAAGTGATGGAGGGCAATCTGCACTTTTGCTGAATGTCCTGGACCCGGATTTCCAGGTCACATAGCATGCACAACCTACATGGACATCACTGTCTCCAGATGGGGTTGGCGAGCCTGCAGCCAGTATGAGGGCAATCTGGAACAGAGCCGTCACATGCATCCGACAGTCTCGCAGGTCTGCAGTAACAGCCAAGTGATGGAGGGCAATCTGCACATTTGCTGAATGTCCTGGACCCGGATTTCCAGGTCAATAGCATGCACAACCTACATGGACATCGCTGTCTCCAGATGGGCAGCTAGATTGGACAGAGCCTTGCACCGCAGGTAGTAACAGCCAAGTGATGGAGGGCAATCTGCACTTTCGCTGAATGTCCCGGACCCGGATTTCCGGGTCACATAGCATGCACAACCTACATGGACATCACTGTCTCCAGATGGGCAGCTAGATTGGACAGAGCCTTGCATCGCAGGTAGAAACAGCCAAGTGATGGAGGGCAATCTGCACATTTGCTGAATGTCCAGCTCAATGTGAATGTTTAGATGACACTGCCTTGGGACACTCATAAGATAGCTTATATGAACACTCTGAGTGATACACACATCATTGACGGTCTGGGACACATCAGATGAGACATCAATGGAGGATGGACAGCCACAGATCAAGTTGCCAATCACCCATCCAATGCCTCTCATTCCTCTTGCTTGCTTGCCAATACTGTTGTCTAGACAGCTTGTTGTTTGTCCCCCTAACAGGATCGAACTGCTGACCTTACGCTGGCTCTGCGTTTTTGATTGGTTTATGAGACGTACGCTCTACCGACTGAGCTAAAGGGGCCCTTACTAGCTGTGAATCGGTGAAATAATTATCACTTGCAATGTGTCGTACCGTGGTTGTGTGGTGTCTTGTCATCACATCAAACAGATGCAACTGAAACACATGGCTTGGCTTGTTGGAAACTACAAGTACTATGGAGTCACAGCTTGATGTTGGTTCAGAAAGCCTTGTGTTTATATTATTTGTCAAAGCTAGATGTTAACGTACAATGCTATGCATGGGACATGTTGCTGCATGAGTGACTTGGGGCAGAGAGGTATTGTCTTCAATGTTGTGTTACTTTATGTGTCAAAGTTAGATGTTAATGTACAATGCTAAGCAAGGGACATGTTGCTGCATGAGTAACTTGAGGGAAAGTGATACTTATTTATTATTTGATGGATGGGTCTAATACTGGTGTGCTTTGTTGATTGACAGTGAAGGTATCAACTTGTCGCAGAGCGACATGCTCGTTTGTGTGAGGCTCGTTCATTGCGAAACGCGCAAGGTCATTCGTTAACTGCAAGCAAATCTGGGTAAAGTCCCTCATCTACCGGTAGTACTACATAAGACAATATAATCATTTTACACTGCATGCGAGTCTAATGTCAATCCTTGTTGACGTGAATGTCGCGCCAAAGAACAGTCATTTGCTACACGAGCAACCACCGACGAATGATGGCCACGGCCACCATTCTTGCGACGCACCTGCACCTTGTCGTCCCAACAGCCTTCTCTCCATCGAGGAACGGCTCGACAAGAAGCAACTGAAGAAGCAACTCAAACTAGAAACTCGACTTCGCAAGCTCACAGTGCGAAAGCATCAAGCCATGGAACGAGGCGACGACATTTTGCTGTTTGAAACGCAGGATGCACTCGAACAACTCTTTCTCAAGCAACCTCAGCTGCAAAGCACTCCAGTGGCTTGGAGCCAATCAACAAAGCGAAAAGAAAGCAGTACGCAACTCTATCTTGGTCATGCTGATGCGCAGTCACTGGTCCACTCGATTCACCTTCAACTCGGTCGTGCGCTTCGACAGAATGAATCAATTCCCATTGACTACCATGCATTATCATCATCATTATCATCAAAGGAACGAAAAGAATACTACACGCAGCAGGTTCGTCCACTTATGAAGAGCATGATGAAGGGAACGCAAACGGAGCAACACTTTGACAATCCACATGCACTCTACGCCTACACGTCGCACAAGTTCTACGAACGAAGCATGCTTGTCATTGACTCGTTAGGAAAATTGTTTGGTCGCAGCAGCAGCAAAACTTATTTGCATTATGTAGAGTGCTTGACGCAGGTTTCCTGCATTTGCAGCATTGGATGTGGTCCAGGTTGCGATGCCTTTAGCGCCGCCGTGCTTTTGGCGACGCTTCCTACTGCCGCAACCAGCAAAAAGTGTGACATTGTCGCCATTCTTCTAGACTGGACGATTGATCAGTGGCGAGAGCAAATACTTTCTACTTTGGAAACTCTTGTCGTTCCCAAGCATATTCAAACTTTTTGTACTGGACGATGCGATGTGCGAAGCGGATTGACGGAGCACGTTAACGTGGAGGCGCGCGACTTGCTGTTCGCCAATGGTTGCGTCGGCACATGCGATTCATCAGCTACGACTCCTACCTTGTACATTGTCAGCTACTTGTTGTCGGAAACGCGAGAAAAATGGCAAACATTCTTTGACGATTTAATGAAACAATCGCCTTCCGAAACACTCTTTCTGCTCATGGATCCAACGTCGTGGCAACTGTACCTTTGGCTTGAGCGTTATCGAAACCAAGTAGAGCACGTATGGCTCGACTCGTCCATGGATCGACCGGACTTGCAGGCGTTGATGAGACGGTTTGGACCGGCGGTCGTCTTGGCCGTGAAACGATGATGAGAGTTAGCTCTTCTCGTGACAGTTAGAGTGGTGGATGGATTTTAGTCGATAACGATAGCGTCTCGTCGTTGCATGCTAAATTATCAAATTTATAACAAAATAATTCAATCTAACTTTTTATCAACTACCCAAACGGATTTGAGTTTCCAGCTCGATTCTGCTGTGGCTGCTGCTGACCATAGGAATCCCAGCTAGAAGACGGCGCTGACGCAAATCCACCAGATTGCGACTGCGGCAACGGTGGCGCCCCATACGAGGCTGGCGATGGAGCTACCGCGTATGACGGCGATGGTGCGGCTCCGTACGAGACAGATTGTCCATAGTTGCCCGAGGATGGAGGTGGAGGCGGTGGCATGGGTGGGAGTGGCGGCGCCATCATGGGGGCAGGTGCCGAGTAGGCGCTGTAGCCACTGACCACGGATGTGTTATCGTCAAAGCTGCGGTTGACATTGAAACTGTTGGCACGCGGCGGCAAACCTCCTCCATACATCGGCGACGGCATGGGTGGCAGATTGCCACTGCTTGGTGCCGAGTGAATCGAGTTTGCCGAGTGGTTTGTAGCCTTGTAAACATCCTCCAGCGTCGGCGGCATGGCCGTTGCCATGGATGATGAGGCCATGGGGTCAAAGGAGCTGGCATTCGAGTTTGGCGACATGAAGGAATGATCGACCAAGGCTGACGCGTATGGATCATTGCTCGTTGGCGTCGACATGGGCAAGGGAAACGAACCCATGCCGTTTGCTCCGAAACTCGACGACGAACCAGTAGGACTAATACCAAAGACTGCCCCATTCATTGGTCGATTAGGGTCGTCTTCAATAGCCAAGCCAGCCACTCCACCAGGCCTCGTGCTGAGGAGCTCGGGCTTTAGATTCGCCAAATCCTTCAGTCGCGGCTGTGGACTAATGCCATTGGCCGTCGCAATCGTCTTGAGCTCGTTGACTACCTGATTGAGACTCGACAAAACTTTGGATTCGTCGCTACTTAGTGTCATGTCGAACTGCGCCACCTTGATGAGCAATGGATGCAAGTCTCGCCACGAGCGTTGCGTCACCTCCTCCATCAAAATGCACAAGTCCGTCGCAACTCGATTGTAGACTTGCTTGCTGTTCATGAGCTTTTCCTCATTGCGTCGTAACTTCTCCTGCTGCTCACTGGAAACCTTTTTTCCCTTGGCCATGGCTTGATTGACGGATATGCGCAAGGCTTCCGTCTTTTTCTGATAGTGATCCAACTCTCGTCGAAGTTCCTCCGCCTTTTTCAATCCATTGTTGATGCGAGTCGTCACCACCTTTTCCCACTCGATGGCATACTCCAAGACGAATTGCTGGTACTTTTGCATGTAGCTCTTGTACTTGGCGCTGAGTACGTCGTGCGTGCTCATGTAGCTGCAGACAGTGTTGGATGGACGATCCGATGATGGCATGAGGCCAATGCAGTCAAACATGGGAGTTTCCTTGGCCAGTAGCGCGAAACTGGCAGCGACCTGAATGATGAATTGAATGCAAGGTTTAGAATGTTAAAGAGAAGCTAAATGATCCATTCAATTGCTTCTCTTTCATCCATTTCAAAAGACCCTTGACAAACAACACTCACCCCACTCCTCGACGACTCCATTTCCGTCATGGCCTTTTGGTGCTTGTCCAGTGCGCCAATCAAGTGTCGAACCTTTTTGCAAAAGACAAGATACTTTTGCTTGAGGCTATCAAGGTCGGCCGACTGGTTGGATGACTTGGAACCAGCGACTGTTTCGCGAAGCAAAACGCCGACGCGGGGTTTCGCCATTTTTAATTGTTGCAGTAGTAGAGTGATCAATGACAATGTCAAGCTAAGCCTGTAATGTTGATGCACGACTACAGGAGGAACGAATTTGGACAGACTAGACACAACACTTGATGCTTCCAGAAAGGCTCGACGGCAGCAAGAAGTGGTCGCAGAAGGAGACCGTTGCGAGAAACCCCAACCGTAACGAAAATGACCGTTGACGCACACTGCAATCAGTTCGGACCTCGAGTCAGACCTACCGTACTTGTCCCTATCTCGGCCATGACAAGCCAACAACAGAGTAAACGTGCTTCTACCTTTTTACAGCAGCAGAAAGTACTACAGTATGAAATTAAGCCAGCGTCTGCGCTGGATCATAGCCCTTTCGCATACGTTGGGTAGCGGTAGCACGAACCAATTTAAACCACATCCACCATCACAAGAACTACGAGCAGCCCCAAACGTAATTTGATTCATTGATCCATTCGTTTCATTATTCTCCTGCGTTAAAGGTACTGTCGCGTCCAAAGGCAATTTCATCGAGGCCTTGTCCGCTTCGTTGGTAGACTCCACCGCGATCGATAAAGTTGGGGCATGGGCGGTAAGCCTTGATGGGCCACCAAGGGGCAATCATTCCAATTCCACCAAGTATTCTTTCATAACACGAGAAAGTATGAATAAGTAAATGGACAAAGTTGTTCAAGCAGAAAACGCCGCATCCATCAAAAATCAACACGCGATACGCGGCAGCTAAAAGATACATACCTTCCAGATCCATCACATCTGTCACAATCTGGACATGCCACAGCAGCAGCAGGTTTCGGAGCTGTAGTCGTTGCCGTATTACCAATATCCGACTCCGGAGACGATGGCTCGGACATTTGCAGCATCAACTGATGCGGCTGTCGGAACGCAAAGCCTTGATGCTTGACTTTACATGATGGAGTTGACGGTACTGTAAAGGCACGACATAGTGGCAGGATGGCTAGCAACACTAGTACTATGAGATGGAGCGCAGTGATTCGTTTTGCCATGGTAGTATCAATGTACGCAGCATCAACGCTACTGCATGGTCATGGTCTTCGCCCGAGAATCGTCGATCAAAGCACTTCAACTTCGCACCGGTACTGACTGTGAATCCGTGCATCTTGCGTCGCTATGCAACGCGGGGTGCTAATTGCACGCGTAAGTTAGTTAGCCTTTACGTAGTCGTCTCCAAACTTACAAGATATTACAATAAAACACTGTTGTACTAGTTTATGGAAATCGTTGAACAGCCAAAGCAGCTCCGTACTCCTCATACTCGGCCCGACTCATCCAAAGCTGCTGGAAGCTTCCCAAGCTTGTCAATATACTTCCGCC